ATGTATTTTTAAGTAGTTTGCTTTGAGTATTAACTTTTAATTAATGGATATTGTCCTCCTTTTTATGTTTTATACTAATATATTGGAGCAAATATTTTTGACTTAGTAAATATATATATATATATATATATATATATATATATATATTCCATTTTAGGTTAAAACTTAAATTTTTAAAAATATAAAAAAATAACTCTTCAAAAGGTGGGGCAGCCCGTGGGGGGCTAGTGACCCACGTAGGGCTGGGCTGACTATTTTAAGGCTTATCAAAACAGTGGATTGGCCCTGTTTAGCCCCGTCAAAATGTCGAAGCCCATGTGGGCTGGGCTATGTTGTGTTGGGCTAGCTTATATTGACTGCTCTACTTCGTATCATGGTATTTTTATAAGCCTTTATATTATTCATAGACCATAACTATGTTCAAATATTTTAGAAAAATATGTTAGAGTTTTTTAACTTGTCTAACTCAAGTCAGATAGCATAAATAACTCTATATAGTCATTTTGTGTAACACATGCAAGTCCAGATTAAAAGATAAGGAAAGCAAGTCAAAGCAGAAATAAAGCCTTAGTTGGACCAGTCGGAGAAAATATAATACCTTTCACCCTAATCTCATCTATTGGATAAGGGAGCTCCCTTGATCATCTGAAGAGTTTCTTATTTTAACCTAATCGATAGTTGTTAGGATGAATTTACACGTGTGAGAGACATAAAATCTCCAAGCAGACTTAACTCCCATACTTAACATGATTTGGATGGACTCACATGAGCCTTCTTGCATGGATCTTCCTTCTTCTCTTAACTAGGATGATCTAACCGAATAAACTTGTAATTGCCCATTCAATAAAACTTAGCCATAAATAGACCGAAATGGTCTCGCGAAGTCAATCCTGAGGGTAAGCTTTCAAGCCGCCTTCCGTTAAAGGAGACGAGACATTGACTTATAATTATAAAAATAAATAAATACCCTCTCCGTTTCAATTTATGTGAACCCATTTGACTAGACACTGAGTTTAAAAAAAGAGAGAAGACTTTTGAACTTGTGGTGTAAAATAAGGCACATATATTTTGTGTGACTATAAATCATTGCATAAAAGTAAATTGTTTCTAAATAAAGAAAAATGTCATTATTTTTGGCACTGAATAAAAAAGAAATATGTTCACATAAATTGAAACGGAGGGAATAGAAGATTTGGCTCTATCATGCTATATTCTCTTTTCTAAGCTCTATGCATGTTAGTGGAAGTCAAGCATGCCTAGCTTTTGAACGTGATTGATTGACACACTCATTCAAAGTGGTTTAGAATAGTTTGGAGAGGTGGTTGCACGATATGAGAAAGGTCTATCTCCATCGAGCCTAATGAAATTAATAAAAATGTCAATTATTAGAGTTACACGTCTCATTATCATCCTTATAAAAATATTTTGCATATTAAATACGATCTACGATAAATTCACTTTCTACAAGAAAAAGGAGATAATCTAATTTTCTCAACATGGTAGAAACATAAGTACTATATAATCAGGTCATTTTTAGCTTAATATAGTAAGGTAAATTTTACTTATTAGATTAAACAATAAAAAAAACTCGGTATTTATAAACTAATCCAAGTTTTGACCGCCTAAAGTTTACTCATGCTCTTAAAATTTTCGACGTTCAAATCACATTTCGTTTTCATACTCCAAAATACAATTTTCCGTAACCCCGCCAAAAGTACAATGTCTATCTCAGCCAAAAAGCACAATCCGCGTCAACACACAAAAAAGCACTCCTCGCGGTTGATCTCTATCCAATCAACGATTCACATTACGTTTTATCCTTTCACTCGGATCGATACTCTTAACCGTCGATTTTCTTTTCAAAGCCCCAAACAACTAACGGTCACGATTTAACCTTTTCCACAACTTCAAACAGCCGATCCACAAAACCAGCAGCCATAAATAACAAACTCAGCCATTTCATCTCATCAAAACAATCAAAGCTCATATCGCTCTTTTAAATTCAAAACCTTTGAAATTCAATTTCTATTTTCTCTCTCTCAAGCTTTTGAAAAATGTCTGGACGTGGTAAGGGAGGCAAGGGATTGGGCAAAGGAGGAGCAAAGAGGCACAGGAAAGTTCTAAGGGATAACATCCAGGGAATTACAAAGCCAGCTATTCGTAGACTTGCTCGTAGGGGTGGTGTCAAGCGTATTTCTGGGTTGATTTATGAGGAGACACGTGGAGTGCTTAAGATCTTTTTGGAGAATGTGATTCGTGATGCTGTTACCTACACTGAGCACGCTAGGAGAAAGACTGTTACTGCTATGGATGTTGTGTACGCTCTCAAGAGGCAGGGAAGGACCTTGTATGGATTTGGAGGTTAAATATTGGGGGTTAGGGTTTATAGTGTTTTGTTGTTAGTGATTGTAGATTTCATGTTTGTGCTTTCTGTTTGTGTTAGTGGTCAGTTTAATCTAGGGTATTTTAATTTCTGTTGTTAAGGTCTGGATATTGTAATTCCTCGTTATACAATTAAGTAAAACAGACCATTCCCTAATTTGTTTTGCCCTTGCTCTGTTTAATCTTGTTTATATTGCAGTTCATATTTGCTTATTGGTATTTATTGGGTGTCCTCATTTTGAAGAAGGCATTTGTAAGAGTAATTTGCAATGACAATTGGAAACAGCCTCTCTACCTCCCCTTTGTCTCTTTCTTGTTTCTTTCTTCCCCCTATTTCTTCTTCTTCTTCTTCTTCCTTTTCACAATTTCATGAGTGTAATGTTTGCGTACATAATACCCTTTGTCGACTCCACATGTGATTATATTGAGTAGTATGTTGTTATTGTTGTTACTTGCTGCTCTGTTTTGATGCTCTTGGTGGGTTTTATCTTTTTTATAACTGAAGGAAGTTGAAGTAGCTGTTCAAGTTTCTCATTCTCGTTCAATTAATTTTTATATGATAAGTTCAATCTGATCATGTTGGTTAGCTTGCCTTCAATATTATTATTATGATGTTGAAATAATGTTCTTTTAAATCTGGCGGTTCAGTTAAACTTCTGCAGTTAAGGTTGGTTGGATACATAAGCTGCATGTAAGGCGATTATTTCTGCGACTCTTAGTATCCTATGGTTGTTTAAAACAGTTGTTTATCTCATATCCACATATTTTGTTCTTGTGGAATGCTCTGCATTGTTTTGCTGACTATATCTGTAGCATTGTTCAAATCAGCTTGGATTTGGAAATCCTATAGCCTTTACTTTTTTTTGGCCATTTGTTCTAGTTTTCCTTGGAAGTCATTTATTTGATGCATTGCTTGTTTTCCAAGCTCACAAGTTTTCCTTGTGTAGCCTTCATGTTATGGTGCTCTTATTGGATTTTGACAAGGTAAGGTAAAAGGGTGTTCTTATTGGGATTTTAGACACGAGTGCAACTTGTTGGATCTCCTAAGAATTCTAGTCTGATTTAAGATTTAAGTTTTGCGAGTTCAATCTTTAAAGTTAGTGTTGAACCCGTTATATTTCTAAAATTATGAGTTTATATCTACTATTTACTATAGTAATAATGCATTTTTACACATAAAATCTATGCACCGTGCTGAAAGTACTGGCCACCGGGTTCACATGACACTAGATCCACCGCTGTGTGGAACTGCTACTGTCTACTGGTTCATTGCAGGACCTTGGTCCTTGGCTATTTGTGGTTGCGTTAATCCTGCTTTTTGGTGGATGGTGAGGCAAGCTCTTCCTAATGTATAAGAGAGCTCAAATGCAGCAATGCATAGTTTGGCAACAAACTCAACCCCGTAAAATAGGAATGTAAGGACTTCAGGTTTTAGTTGTTCTTTCTTGGCGATTTTGTAACTTTGTGAGCAGAATTTGCAGTTGTGTGTTGGTAGCTTCAACACCACCGTCTTACTTGGATAGTCTGGCTTGTGGATTACTCTCTGGCTCTGTTTTGATTTGGTTTTCCAAAGGTTTGCATTTCTTGTCTCATGAAGACAATTTGATGAAGTGTGACCATAGATATTTGCAATATTTAGAAATGTATGCTCACAAAATCATAAAATGCTAAAATTATTTTTCCAATTTATGATCATAGCCAGTTATTTACACACTTTATATCTGGTTAATTTATAGAACATCGTGTGACTTTTTGTTTCTTTAGTATCCATTTAATCCCTGCCAAACTAGCTTGGATCAAGATCGGTGAGACATTCCCAAACAGCCACAGGTCGAAGTGATCTAATCGACTACGAAGGACGTGGTCAGAGTCAACAAAGATTGAAGTCGAGGAGTAGTCAATAATCGAGGCCGGGATCGAGGTCGAGTACACTAGACAGAGTTATAACGGCTAGTTTCAAGATATGACATGAAAGAGAATATTCTAGTGTATATTCTCTAGATTTGTACTATTAAATTTTCTAGTAACATGTTCCCTATAAATAGAAAGAGAAACAATGATAGTGGATATGAAATACTCATTTATAAAATATTCTTTCACTTTACAAATAGAGAATCTGGTCTCATCACAAACACTCAAAAATAAAATTTTCTCTAACTTATGCCTTTTCCACTATTCTTGGACATTCTTCATTTTCGTTGTCAGAAGCAATATTCATTGCTTTCACTCTTTCTCAGGTGACTCATTTGCATTTATGTGTCATTTATTACCGTTCATCACTACTTAATGTCATATTGCTTTTGTCTGGGGTTCTTAAATATCAGTTATTGCACGTTCTCATAGCTTTTGAGACAGATCCGCATGTTATTTGTCATAGTTCCGAGAATCATCTTTGGAATATTATTATTAATTAAAATTAACCCTCATTTATATGAATTTAATTAGTTAAGCCAAGATAAATATTTTTTTGTCAAACATCTTCTTCATTAATATACATTATTTTTTTCAAAAAAGAGTTCCAACTATGTGACTAAGAATCTTTAATGATGACGTAAATTTGTCCAACAATCTTTGATTAGCAGCCACCATCTTTAAATCTTTTTGCATAAGGAGATACCGAGAAGGTAAACAAATTATTCTTCTTTAAACAAAATTAATTTTTTTTTTTTCTATTTTGAGCTTGGTGCATGTGCCTCAACTTTTCAATGCCAGTATGCCACTGATAAAGCAAGGCACAGGTGGATCTGGTCGGGATGTACATCATTTGCCTTTAAAAATTAAAAATTGGAATTTTTAGCTTCCTATATACTATTTAACTTAGCAATTTCCTTAATAATTTATAATGGGCTGGGATGGGTCAAAATAAAAGGCTTTAGTCTAGGTTTTCAGCTCCATAGTCCATATACGCAGTCTCCGTTGGCCAGGGAATTTTCTTCCCAAAGCCATCATTGATTCAACGAGAGAAATCATTGCCTGAGGAGGATCGACAGGAAACAGTAAGTGTTTTATTTATTTATTTGGGATAACTTTTTTTTCAATTTAGAATATAATCAGATTTGATCCTTTGGAAATTCTTTAAGATCTGCGGTATTGTACTTCAATAGAATTTCAAGATATTCTGTTTGCAAGTCAATTTTTCCTATCTAGAAGATCAGCAAAACGTAAATCCACATGTTTTACTCTGCAAATACATAAAGGCAGCCCGTGTACAAATCTGCCCGCATTCATGCAGGGTCCGGGCTTTGCAAATGCATCGGTAAATAATTAAATCGTGGTTCAGGGAAATTTTCAACTCTAGATGTATCATTTGTGAAGGGAACAATACAGAATTAGCACTTATCATTGCAACCCCTATTCAAATGCAGATATTAATTTTTGGAGACGGAAGACAAGATGCCATTAGCAGTGTTCTTGTTGTGGCTGCAAAGTTTGGATAATGGACTCCACTAAACCAGCTAGCTGGGCTTGAAATGCTAAAATCTAAGGGCCTCGACATGATGCCCAACCATATTTGAGTTGCAGTAGAGATTGATGAAGCTGAGTTGAATTTTCAAAAGTTAAAAACTTATACAAATGTGAACGAGGGAGAACTGTTGTGATCGTATGAGTATATTGGGTGAAGTTCGATAATGGTTTGATGGAATTTCTTGTTTTGCAGGAAAAATGTCTTAGAGAAATTTCACTACTTATGAGCAACACCTGTCTAATTTACGTCCCAAATGTCTCTTATATCAGCTTATCAACTCAGACAAATATGTGATTTGCTTCGCCTGCACCGAATCATCATTAAATTCACATCTTTGTCTGAGTTGATAAGATTATCCATGAGACATGTATACTCCGTGAAAGATTTCTCAAGATGGTGTCCATTGCATCGATGGCTTCTAAACAAGGGATTTCCATCAATCCATTTCCGAACTTGATATCGAATAAACTTGTGCGATAACCGACAGTTTTCTTTTTCCAAATTTGTATAAATGTTTGATTTTTGAGAAGTTAACTCCAGCTTCATCAAGCTCTCTTGCACTTTGAACGTGAAGATATGTTGAGTTCCTTAGTTTTTGTCATCTCTTTTGATGTAAACATCTGCAAACGATTACTTTAGTTGCAACAGGCTATCCGTGCTCATCACCACATGAGAAAGCTCAGCTCACCAACTGACTCGTCAGTATAAGGTACCTGTCATTATTGCTGACTTATCAGCTTTTACATCTTAATTAGTTATTCATTTAATTCTTGTTGAACTCAAAAGGGGGAAGATAGTAACAGTTTATTACAATTAAATGAAGAAGCTAAAAAGAAGAATGACAAAGAATTCCTCCATTATAGAAGTATTGTGGAAATGCAGACTATATTGCTTTCAGTGGCTGGTGAACCTTTCAAAACTGGCAAATCTACTTTTATCTTATTGTTGAATGCAATACTCAAAAATGTACAAGTGACTACTGAAACAGTAACAAAAGAAATAAAAGAGGAGAGGTTTCCCTTGCTGGTATATAATGGTATTGAGATTCTTTTATTCTGTAATGTATTCATTGTTTCTTTGTGCTTTCAAGTAATGTTGTCTTTTAACTATTAGTTGAAAACTGAACCTAATACAATTTGCTTCAGGGGCTATGATGCCATAAAAGTTATCCAAATCTTTCTGCTGTGTACTTGACATCAACGTTGTATTGATCACAAGAGCTTACATTACTCTCTTGAATTTCTGATTTTTTTGTTCTGTACATGGTGATATAATTCATCAATGAGCATGAAAAGGATACAATCTAATTTCTGATTACTGCTACGTTATCTATCGTGCCAAAAGAGTTTCATTCACATGGATTGATATAAGTCACTGAGGATCCAAAAGATGATCTGGTATTAATTGATAGAATGGCTCTAAGTTGGAAGATCTGCATAAATTATTTTGGCTAGCTCACATTGTCTATACGTTTTTTCAATATATTTTGCATATATTGTTGATGAAATTTGTGCAAATTGTGTCTATTCGTTACGCCAGATTTTAATGTTCTATGTTTTGTTCGTACTGAAAAACAATTATCTTCAAGAAAGACGATTACTATGAGGCAAGCCAAAGGAAATAAAAAATGAACCGCAGTAGGTCCAGCGTGATGTTGATCCTGATGGCAATTTGGTGTGTTGAATCTTGGTTGTTCTAAAATATTCTTTTGTTTACCTAATCAAGTTTGGTAGTCTATTAGGGTGAACACTCTGCCTCGTTGCTGGTTCGTTCAATTGGAACTGAATTTCAGAAACCTTGATGTTTGCATAACCATTACGCCAATTCCAACATATTAATCACAAGCCATATTTGCACCCTGCAATTTGGCTCAAATCTGTAACAGATTAAGACACCACCACATATTTTTAGAATTCTACTATAAACATCGTCCCATGTTTAGCACGAGCTAGCTTCCAGTTAGAACATGTAATCAGCATTAACTAGGAGTAGAATTTCAAGACATACACTGCTCGGCTCTTTCTATTTTTGGGAAACCGAAAAAACTAAATATTTTGATATATCTATGTTAATCCTTTGGTTCTGCCGTGTTAGTTTCTTTGCTAATATTGATTCCGATGGACTACAGGTTTCCTGAGACAATTTCTACATATGATTGTTCTCAAAAGTAGGGCAGAATAGAGACTATTCCTTAACTTTTTAGGGCAGGCTATTTTCTACAGTTTTCTAAAAGCATAGGATAAGATAATGTAGCTAATAATTAGCACAACGACGGAGCAGGACCATATACTGTAATCTACGCGGTATGCCTATATACTGTAATATCAGTTAACACCATATACAATTAAAGTATTTATTTTATCTTGTATACCTATTTTATAGATTTATTTTACCATGTATACCTATTTTATAAATTTATTTTAGTTATTCACTATTCCACGTTTTAAGGGAATGTAATCTTATACCTTTTCTCTCTCGGCTGTCTTTCTTTTTTCAATCTCTCCCCCTTTTTTCACTACCCAATTTAATTTGAATATTAACAATATTATTTAAATATTGTGATTTTAAATTGAATATTATAGTTTTATTTGAATACCATAAATAGTTTTGATTTGAATATTGTAGTTGCAAATTGAATACTATATTCTTAAATCGAATACATTAAAATTGAATATTGTAGTTTCACATGAAATACTTTAAACATACTGTTAGTTTCTATACCAAAATGTTAGCGTGAATACTGTTAGTTTTTTTTACCAATATTTGTATGTATACTATTAGTTTTAATGGAATACTAGTATGTGCGTATACAATTAATTTTTGATTGGATGTAGATATAATGGTATACATACGGTAATACATTTTATTTTTTATTGGAATACTTATAAATTTATTGTTAGTTCGATTTAGAATATTAGTCCATAATTTGGAATATAATTAATTTATGATTGGAATATAGGTAGATATGTCGTTACTTCTATTGGAATACGGGTACATATATTGGAATACAAATATATTTTGATAACTTTTTGTTAAAAATCTCATCCAAAACTTAGGAATATGCTCTTGGAATGGAGAACTCAATTACTGAAAAAATGGAGAACTTGCCTATTGAAAAGGAGATTTATAGGGATAGAAGTGATTGTAATTAATAAGTTTTCTTTTTTTAATATGTGTGATCTTAGGAATACTCCTATTTTTCAGGCTTCGTGTTTCCAGCCTTGCAATGGGTTGGTATGTTATAGATATATTATGTAAATTTGTTTGGATACCTGGAATAATTTCAATTTTCGGGGTAAATCAAGTAAGTGGGTATTATAAATGGGTTTACCATGTTATGAATAAAATTATACTTAGATTGAATGTCTATCTTTTATAGAGTTTGTTACTTTGTGGCTAAGTCATTCCCCCCTATAAATAAAGGGGCTTTACCCCATTGTAAATCATCTGAAATTCAATAAGAATTACCTCTCTTTTCCTTGCAATATTATTCTTTTCCTTATTATTTTATTTCACGTTATCAGCGTGAGACTCTACCATCTCAAGAAGCTCTTTGAGAAGATTAAGTTTATTTTGTATGCCAAACCATTGGAAGCAAACATGGGTATCCCACACAACAAACTTGGATCAAAGTTCAATTGTAAAAATATTTGTTTAGTTGATTCATGTACGACACATACAATATTCAAAGAGAAGAAAGATTTCTCTTATTTAAATATGTATAAGGCAGATGTTACAACAATTTCTGGTAGTAGTAATTTAATTGAAGGCTGTGGAAAAGCTACTATAACTCTGTCTAGGGGAACAATACTATAATAGATAATGCAATATTCTCCTCCAAGTCCAGAAGGAACTTGTTGAGTTTTAAAGATATCCGCCGAAATGGATATCATATTGAGACAATAGATGAGAATAATCTTGAATATCTCATCGTTACCAAAAATGTCTCTGGCCAGAAAAGGGTTATTGAGAAATTTCCATCTTTGTCTTGTGACCTGTATTGGACAAGAATTAGTGCAATTGAGGCATATTCTATCGTAAACCAAAAGGTTACTGATTCCAATACTTTTGTACTTTGGCATAATCGGCTGAGACATCCTGGATCAATTATGATGAGACGAATTATAGAAAACTCAAATGGACATCCATTAAAGAATTTAAAGATTCTTTTAAATAATGAATTTTCTTGCACTTCTTGTTATCAATGCAAGTTAATTATTAGACTATCACCAACAAAGGTTGGGATTGAGTCCCCTGCGTTTTTGGAACGTATACAAGGGGATATTAGTGGACCTATTCACCCACCTAATTGGTCGTTTAGATACTTTATGATCTTAATAGATGCATCTTCTAGATGGTCTCATGTGTGCCCATTGTCATCTCGCAACTTGGCATTTGCAAAATTAATGGCACAAATAATCCGATTACGGACATAATTTTCCGATAATTCAATTAAGTCTATTAGACTTGATAATGCTGCTGAGTTTTCATCCCAATCATTTAATAATTATTGCTTATCAATTGGGATAAAAGTGAAACATCCTGTAGTTCATGTTCACACTCAAAATGGCCTTGCAGAGTCTTTGATTAAACGTCTGCAATTGATAGCAAGACCGTTACTCATGAAAACGAGGTTGCCTACTTTTCTTTGGGGTCATGCCATTTCGCATCCAGCAATGCTAGTTTTTCTTATACCGACAAATTATCATAAATATTCCCCGTTGCAATTAGTTTTGGGTCATGAACCTGATATATTCCATTTAAGAATTTTTGAATGCGCAGCATATGTGCATGTAGCACTGCCATATCGTACGAAAATGGGTCCCCAAAAAAGGTTAGGGATATATGTTGGGTTTGAATCGCCCTCCACTATTCGCTACCTCGAAACATTAACGAGAGATTTGTTCACTGCTCGATTTGCAGACTGTCGATTCGATGAGATATTTTTTTCAAAATTAGGGGAAGAAATTGATGAAACCAAATGGGAAATTTTATTGAAAAAATCCATCATTATCTCATCTTGATCCACATGCCTCTATTTGTGAAAAAAAGGTGCAAAAGATCATTCACTTGCATAAAATAACAAATCAAATGCCAGACGCATTTACATATCTGAAAAAGATAACAAAATCACATATCCCTGTAGAGAATGTTCCAATTCGTATTGATGTTTCTGTTAGACAATCTTCTAGTATCATAGCTAACCTAAAGCGTGGCAGACCATTGGGTTCTAAGGATCGAAATCCTAGAAAAAAAAACAAATGATCAAGATGACACTACGAGAAAGTCTCGTGAAGAAATCTACGATTTAACCAATCTTGAGATTCAAAAAAATGGTGATATCAATGTGCAACAAATTCGTTCAAGTGATAATATGGCTGATTTATTCACCAAATCTCTACCGACATCAACCTTCAAGAAGTTGGTGTATAAGATTGGGATGCAAAGGCTCAACGATAGGAATTGATGCTCTCATCAGGGGGAGTTAATACGCGTTGCACTCTTTTTCCCTTACAAGATTTTGTCCCACTGGGTTTTCCTTGCAAGGTTTTTAACGAGGCAACCAAAAGGTGTATTATTAAACATGTGTACTCTTTTTCCTTTACTAGAATTTTTTTCGCACTGGGTTTTATTTTAGTTAAGGTTTTAACGAGACACATTACCTATTGAGTAGATATTCAAGGTGGAGTGTTATGAATAGAATTGTACTTAGAGTGAATGTCTATCTTTTAGAGAGTTTGTTACTTAGTGGCTAAGTCATTTTCCCCTATAAATAGAGGGGCTTTACCCCATTGTAAATCATCTGAAATTCAATAAGAATTACCTCTCTTTTCCTTGCAATATTATTCTTTTCCTTATTGTTTTATTTCAATTTTCATATTATTATATAAAACTTCACAACACATCTATGCAAGAATGTTACGACCTACACCTTGAATTACAAACAAATCAGTGTAAATCCTGACATTAGGGGTCATGAAACTATATTATTTTTGTTGTATACCTATACAAAATGTTTTATTCAAGAAAACTTAACCGATTCGTGATGTTTATGTCACGA